TGTGTGTGTGTGTGTGTGTGTGTGTGTGTGTGTATGAAAGATGTAGTTACTCTGAAGTAAAATAGACCACTTAAGGATTTATTATTCTATGTGAAATAATATGTGGAAAATAAATGTGGAAAAAGAAAACCAAAATCACCTGTAACCAAACAACCCAATATAACTAATGTTGTTGTGGTAATGTACATTTTTCTGGTCTCTACTCAGGAGGCTGAGGCTAGAGAATCACTTGAACCTGGGAGGCGGAGGTTGCAGTGAGCTGAGATCGCGCCATTGCACTCCAGCCTGGGCAACAAGAGTGAAGATCTGTCTCAAAAAAAAAAAAAAAAAAGAAGAAGAAGAAGAAGAAATAAAGTAAAATAAGTAACCCTTACAGGGAAATGGCAATAATCTCACTTAGCCTAAACAAGTGAAAAGTATAACCTGAAGTAGTTTTAGTTAGGATAATGGGTTTCACAAATATACCGGAAGCACCAATATCAAAAGGACATCCGGAAGGTGGAAGTTCTACCCACCTGTACTCTTGAGTTGCTTCGATGTTGTTAATCTGTTCTTGTGCAGAACTGCTCATTCTTAAAAATATACAAAACATTCTGAGTTGAAAGGAGAAGACAGTCACACAGTGAAATCTCTCTCTCCCTCCTGAGACAACTATCCTCTCCGTTTTGCTGCTATCCTTTCTACACACTGCTATCGTTGGGAAACTTGCACAACAGTATTGTGATTTGTAATTCTGCTCTCTCCCATTAGGCTCTGAGCTCTCTGAGAGTAGAGTCTAAACCATAGTCATTTTGTATCTACTGTTTCCTCCACTATGTCTGGAATAATTAGCTGCTCAGACAACTTTTATTAAACTGAACAAAAGAAGTAATGAAGATTTTTAAATGCTACATTTATAAGACACATGGCTATGGAAACCTGAATATTCTTGGAAGCTAATCTTCACGCAGAATGAGTCAATATGTTTCTGTCCTGTTTAAATACAAAATCTTGAGATAGTATATTATTTATATCCATCATAAAAACTTAACAAATATTGCACAACACAATAAGCACAATAAATTCGTAACTTCTGGCACATTTCAAAAGAAGTTTCTTTTCTATGAACTCCTTTTGTCCACCTCTTACCATCTCTACCTCCTAGAATCCAGCACAGGCTGTAAACCTCAAACCTGTTATTTTTAGCAGTGAGTTAGCAGAGGGCCTTGACTTCCTCTTAGAATGATGGTATGCAGCTTCTGAGAATATAACAGCAGAGCTAATAATGGTAGAATCATCAGAGTATTTGCTGATTACCATCTTCTGTTATAAAGACTTTAAAA